AATTACAATTCTTAAATTGATGACAAAAATACCTGTAGGATTTGCAGCTGGTTGGAAAAAAAATACAGGTTTTATGCTTCGAGTAGGTACTTTTGTCACCTGTGCGTGATTTGCGGATGCGACTAGCACTAACCACTGCACAATGAGACTACTGACTGACTGGCTCACTCAACTCGTGCATGAATCGCGCGCCTCCCCCGCGCTGTGTATCCCACGGCCCGCCTGCGCCGCATCTCCGGTCGCCCGACCGACCGACACCCCCCACTTCTTCTAAAGCCACTTCTTCAATATAGACTCGCTCAGGCCGAAAACCCCGACTTCTGCACATGGGCCACGAAGTTTCAATCGCACTGTATGTGCGCGCCTACACGTGGTATTTTGTGGAAGAGCCACACTCAAGGGGCCAAAGAGCCGCATGTGACTCGCAAGCCGCGGTTTGCCGACCACTGCACTATGATGTCAAATAAATCTCCGTTCATAATGATGGAGACTAATAAAGCAGTTATCTAAGATGAGGTCATGCATGATGATGGCATGTGAGGAACACATCACTAAAATCCCTCAAATGCTGCTTTATTTCATTCCTTTAAAAATGCAGCCTTATTTTCCAGCTGCACAAAGCAAAATGTAAAAACAAATCATTATCCCAAATTAGCATCAAATTTCTTAACAAATGTGTATTTTTTGAATATCCAGAATCACCACCTATGACTAGTTGTAACACATGACCTTTATCTGTAAAATATGGAATTAATTCCATGAAGACTCAAAGCCTAAGTAGAGAATATTTAAAATATGCTCACATACTTGAAGTATTTCTGGTAAAGAAAGTCTGAATGCTCCTTCTAGTGTTTGCATCAAATGAGTAAAATAATCATTCCAAAATAAATACCACATGTTTAAAAATGATTGTATTCTGTTATTTCTTTTGTACTTGTCCTATAACAATCAAGCCAACAAATCCAGAACAGCAGTTTATATTATAATGTAGCCACCTTTTGGTGGAGATTTGTTCCTAAGTATGACCAGAAAAAACATTCCAAAAATATCTCTATGGCAATGATCCACTTCTCGGTTTCCATTCCATTCTATCACATCCCCCAAAGGAATTAAGTAAGAGTACTTTTCTTTATCAATCAGCTAGTAGAACAACAGAGGGAAAGTAGCAATATGCTTACTTATGTCAAGAGATGGTCACTGTATTTTCAGACAAGAGCTGACTTTATTTTATTATTATTATTATTATTTTTAAATATTTTTATTGATTTCAGCGAAGGGAGAGGGAGAGAGAAATAGAAACATCAATGATGAGGAAGAATCATTGATCGGCTGCCTCCTGTACACCCCCTACTGGGGATTGAGCCTGCAACCCGGTCATGTACCCAGACCCGGACTAGAACCTCCTGGTTCATATGTCGATGCTCAATCACTGAGTCACACTGGCCGGGCAAGAGCTGACTTTAAATTCTTAAATACTTACTAACTAGCTTCCAGTTAAAATGTAGATTAAATACTATTTACTATTTTCCCTCCAGAAACCTCACTAAGAAGGCAGTAAAAATATAAATTCACAAATATAAAGAGATCAGGAAAAGAAATGACAACATTTTGAAAGTTTTAAATTGAGTGAGTGAGAACTACCTTAGGAAACTAGAAACAGCTTGAAAGTGGTTTGAGGTAGGGAAGTCTTGGTGCAACTCCAGAAATAAGCAGATGCATGTTACAGCCACAGAAAGCCTCCATAATCTATAATTGGGCATCAATTACCTCTAAAAGTGGTGGATTCAAGTGAGACTGAAAGCCAGAAGCCCTGGCTGGGTAGCTCAGTTGGTTAGAACATCCATCTGATTCAACAAGGTTGTGGGTTTGATCCCTGATCAGGACACATACAAGAATCAACCAATGAATGCATAATAGGTGGAACAACAAATCAGTGTTTTTCTCTCCCTTTCTCTCTCTGAATATCAATAAATAAAAATTAAAAAATAAAATCTATGTAAGAAACAATCTCATAGATTTCCTCCCCCAGCTTGCTGGGCCCAATGACTACCCCATCATGAAAGACAACAAAAGGTTTGTACTGGAGAGGTTGAACCAGAGGGGCTCTAGCCTCATCTTGCGACACATACTACAGGAGAATAGTACTAAGAAACATGGAGAACAGACCAAATTGAAACTCTGAAAGATGAACCCTCCCTACCCTTGCCCCAACCCCTTCTCCCACTCAGTCCCAGAATGATGGCAGGAACTCATAGCTCTCAAGCATGAAACTGGAGAATTCATCTCTAGGGAAACTAACCCAGCAAAAAATAAAATTAAAAAATCCTAAAAGTATTGACAGCTGGGGTTCCTCTAAGAAAATACTCAGCCAGATTATCTTATCTTAGAAGGAAGCCCACTTCTTGACAAGGCCCATCCACTCACTCAGAACTTATAAGCAATCTTTTTTGGTCTCTTGAATATGAGTACACAGCCAACAATAACACTGAATGTAAAAAAAAAGAGAGAAAGACCTATAATATGAAAAACACAGACCAAAAGTAAACAAATAAAAAAGAGTCAGAAAAACTTCTAACAAACAAACAAAAAACATAACTAATCCTCAGAAAAATAAAGTAGATATAACATCCACAAAACAAGAAAAGGAGGCTATAAAAAAGCAATATTTATTGAATATAAACAAATTTGTGGGAATTAGGAAAAGGCAGCAGAAATAAACATTTTAATAGAAAGAATAGAAGATAAAGTTTGGTAAGTCAAGTACAAAGTATAATTTATCTGTTAAAAAGATAGAAAATAGGAAAAATGTAAAATTAGGGGATCAATTTAGAGGTCAAACGTCATTTTAATGGAATATTCAGAAAAACAGAAAATAAAACAGAGTGGTAGAAATTATTAAAGAAATAATCTGAAAATGTGTGAGAACTAAAAAAAAAAAAAAATGAGCTTCTAAATGGAAGGACCCACAAAATGCCCAGCAGAAGGCATGAGCAAAGATCTACACCAAGTCCTGTAGTCGTGACACTATAGCAGCTGAAGGAAATTCTAAACCTTCCAGAGAATGAAACACAAAGATCAGGAATCAAACTAACTTTGATTACATCAACATCATGTTATTACAACAACTGCAAAGTAACATAAAGTGCAACATTAGAGGAAGGACCCACAAAATGCCCAGCAGAAGGCATGAGCAAAGATCTACACCAAGTCCTGTAGTCGTGACACTATAGCAGCTGAAGGAAATTCTAAACCTTCCAGAGAATGAAACACAAAGATCAGGAATCAAACTAACTTTGATTACATCAACATCATGTTATTACAACAACTGCAAAGTAACATAAAGTGCAACATTAGAAAGATCTTCAAAATCTTAAGGAAGGTGGTTTTTATTCTAACAACCTAGCGAAATGACCCATTAATTATAAGACTAAAATAAAGACAGCAACTTCTCAAAAAAACTTATTTCCTATTAACACTTTCCCAGGAAGCCACCACAAGTTATGCTCCATCAAAACAATGAAGGAGACCAAAAAGTAAGAAGACATGGGATTTACTAACTAGACAGTGAGTCCAACATAGAAGGGAGGAAAGGGGAATCCCAAATGTGGTAATGAAGGAAGATTTCTCGGCAACATCTGTGTGACAGGCGGAGAGATGAGCCAGTGCAGACCTGGGGGAGGATTGATGGTTACAAGAGAGATATCTTCAAGAAAAAAAAATGATGTGATAGGTTACCTGATGTAATTAAATATTCGGAGGAGAGCTATATTTTTGGTAGGGAGTTCAAGAATGAATTAACAGCCCTCGCTGGTTTGGCTCAGGGGATAGAGCATCGGCCTACGGACTGAAGGGTTCCGGGTTCAATTCTGGTCAAGGACACATGCCTGGGTCTGGTAAAGGGCACATGCCTGGGTTGCTGGCTCAACCCCCAGGAGGGGGCGTGCAGGATTCAGCTGATTAATGATTCTCATTATTGATGTTTCTATCTCTCTTTCTCCCTCTCCCTTCCTCTCTGAAATCAATAAAAATATATTTAAAAAAAAGAATGAGTTAACAGTAGTAAACAGTATATAAACAAAAGAAATGAAGAAAAGGAGGTGATTATTAACTGTAGGGAAAACAAGGATATAAATGAATGCTGTGAATAATATTTACAAGGGAATAATAATGCATCTAACGATTAACGAATACTCATCTAAGAAAAATTATGTTGAGAAAATGTGAGTTAAATGACCTTTCATTGTAGGAAGTTAGTAGATAATATCTAAAGCTGAAAACTAAAAAATATAACTTGAAGCATATTATTGAGAAATACAAAATTGAATGCCAAAAGAAAGCTAAAAGACTTGAAAGAGACTGCCTTTTTTTTATAGCAAAATGTTTACAAAGTGTACAATGAGTTCCCAGTCAGAAAATGTACATTACAAAGAACTGGAGAAAAACAACAACACACATTTGGCACGTACCTTAGAAACCCACACAGGTCTGAGAGGAAAGCCGGGCCCAGCCTGCAGTTCTGGAAGGCCCCATCATCCCCAGGTTGTGCTAAAGCGCTGGAGGCGCAGACAAAAGACCTTTGCAGCTGTGACTGCCTGGAGGAATGTCAGTCCTGCTTGGGTAGCTAAGGTCAACAGAACTGCTGGGTCTACGTGTGTTAGAGCCTCTCTGTTAGGAGGAAACCAGCTGAGCAATCACGTCCTAGGGTCCCCAGGAGCCCAGAATCCAGGCTTGGACTTGGTGCCCCTGGGCTGCCGCCGCCCTGCACACCCTCCTCCCTGTGGGCCCAAGGGCAGGTCAGCCCCTCACCATCGCTGCCCACCCCCGCCACCCCGCCACCCCCCAGTTAAGTGCAGTGTTTCTCTAGAAGGGGTGCTGGGCTCAGTCACATGACAGGGCTCAGAAAGAGGAATTGCTTCCGCAGCATTCATGGTGGCTTAGTTAAATTCTTTAAGGATATGTGCACTGTTTCCCAGACCCTATCCAGCAATTTCACATCAGATTTTCTGCTCCATATTTCCAAATACTTGATTACCAATGAGCACCACCAACCTCCAGTCACCAACTGACCACCAAGTCCAGCTTACCCTCTCCTATCCACCAAGGGCATCCCAGTGGCTGCCTGGGCTACTTCCCAGCTCCACCCAAGGCACTGGTTGTGCAGGGGGGATGCGGGGCCAGCAGGGAGGGTTGGCCCTCTCCCTTCTTCCTTGTCTAGAGCCCAGCAGGGCCAGACTTTTTCAGCAAACCACAGACCCAAATTCCAGGACACAACTTTGATTGCCCGGAGATTCCCAGAATATGTCCCAGATGTCAGTGCCCCATGTCTGGGGGCCACCAAGACCTACCCTCTTGGTGCCTCGTCACGTGCTCTTCAGACTCTCTCTGCCCACCTGGTTTCTGCTATAGGGGGTGGGAGGAGGAGGGGTGAGGGGAGCTACAGCCCTGAGTCTCAGGGGCCCTGGAAGCACTCCCTGGAAAAGTTGCACTTGGGGTACATGGTACTGCATCACCAGAGTAGGTAATCTCTCCGGGGCCTACCAGAACCTTCCATGAGCTGAAGAGATTGTTTCTTGAAGTGGGATTTGGGGATAGAAAGAGGTAGAGTAAGAGACCACTGATTTTTCATCTATAGCCTTATAGAACTATTTCAGTATTTAAACTATGTACATATGTAACTTTGATTAAAGATAAAATTAACTATAAAATTTTAAAAATGTGCTAGCTACAACTTACTGGATCCAAATTATAAAGAAAGAAGAGTTTAATTAATACTGATTCTAAAATGTATATGAAAATGCAAAGTATCTAGAATAGCCAAGGCATGTAAATACTTTTTGTAAAGCTTCATAAGTGAGATAGAGTGGTACTGACAGAGAACTAGACAAATACAGTAATGAAACAAAGTAGAATGAAGAAAATATCCAGACATATACAGTCATCTGATTTGCAGCAACAGCATCAATGTAGTTTAGAGGGAAAAGGTTGAAATTTTCAATAAATGTTGCAGATTTAATTAGATATCCTTGAGGGTGGGGGAAATGAACCTTGACCTTTACCATATACAGAAGCTAGTTTAAAATGTATTACATATCTAAAAGTAAAAAAATAATAATAATAAAGCTTTTAGAAGAGGACAAGATAATATATTTATGAACTTGGGTTAAGATTTAAGTAGTACAAGATATATTCTAATTATGAAACAAAAGATTGATAAATTAAATTCATCCAAATTAAGAACTTCTATTAATCAAAAGATACTACTAAGATAAAAAGCAAGTCACAGACTGAGCAATGTCTGCAATACATACATCTGACAAAAGGCTTGCATTTAGACCATATAAAGAACTACAAATCAATTATATACCTAAAGTTTTTTTATGCTATTAACAAATGTGACCCTAATAGCCCAGCTGGCATGGCTCAGTGGTTGAGGGTCGACCTATGAACGAGGAGGTTGAATTTCTGGTCAGGGCATATGCCCTGGTTGTGGGCTTGATCCCCAGTGTGGGGTGTGCAGGAAGCAACCCATCAATGATTCTCTCACATCATTGATGTTTCTATCTCTCTCTCCCTCTCCCTTCCTCTCTGAAATCAATATATATATTACCCTGATAAATTTAATACTTTTTTAATTTAAAAAATAAATAAAAAGACAATCCAATATAAATAATGGGGGAAATTTGTATTAAAACTTTACAAAAGTAGCTATCCAAATAATTATTTGAAAAAAAATGCTCAATTTTATTACTCATTAGGCAAATATAAATTAAAACCACACTGGACCCTGGTTGATGTTGCTAAGTGGTCAGAGCACCAGCCCGCACACAAAAGGGTCTCTGGTTCAATTCTCAATCAGGTGAGGGCAGGTTCAATCCCTGGCCCAGGTCGGGATGCGTACAGGAGCCAACCAATTGATGTGTCTCACATTGATGTTTTTCTTCCTCTCTCTCTCTCTCTCTCCTCCTCCCTCTCCTCCTCCTCCTCCTCTTCCTCTTCCTCCCTCCATCCCTTCCACTCTCTCTAAAAATCAAAGAGAAAAAATATCCTTGGGGGAGGATTAAAAAGAAAAAAGAAAACAAACAAACAAACAAACAAGCACAGAATGGATAACATTCCACACTCACCAGAATGGCTAAAATTTAAAATACAGGCGATACTAAAAGTTGGCAAAAAGGAGAAGCAACTGGAATTTTCATATATGTTTTTAGTAGATATTTAAATTGTATAATCATTTGGGGAAGTTGTTTGGCAATATCTATCTGTCTATACTATGAGCCAGCAATTCCACTCCTAGGCATACACACAGGAGGAATGAATGCATACCGGTACATCCACCAAAAGACGTATACAAGAATGTTCATAGCTCACTTATGCATTAAAGTAAAAACACGAAACAACTCAAATCTTCATCTGTAAAAGAATGATAAATGAACTATGGTATTTTCATTCAAGAGAGATTGAGTAGCAATTAAAAAAAACACCATTAATTATATACAACAATATGGATGAATCTCACAGACATCATGTTGGGAGAAAGAAGCTAGACACCAATGAATACATACAGTATGATTTTGTTTATCTGAGATTTTCAGGCAAAACTAATTTTTAATGACAGACATCAGAGTGATTACCACATTCTAAGCTTGCTCAAGTCCTGCTCCCTTCCCACACTCCCAAAAAGTATTGATAGAAAGGACCACAGAGGAGCATTTTGAAATATTGGAAATATTCTGTATCTTGATATGACTGGTGGATCCATGGATATGTTCATAAATAAAAATTCAACAAAATATACACCTAAGATTCATGCACTTTACTGTATGTGTTATACCTCAATAGAAAAGTTTGTTTGGGGGACATCCTCTTACATCCTCTTTAAGCTCCTTTACTTCACTCTGGGTCTCCGCATCACCATGACACTCTGAATCCAGTAACCCTGGGGTGTCCTGTTTACTCTTGGAGCGACGCTGAAAGTAGGTTCCCAGCTTTTCAGCCCCATGATTCTTCCAGTGTCACAACATCAACCTCTCTCTCCTCTAACCACTCAGTTTAAGTTTAACCATTTGAAGCTTCGTCATCTCATAAATACATACTGTTTCAGACATCAACTCTAAGTAAAATGCTTGCTCTTGGGGAAACTATATAGATTATAATTTTATCCCACATTCTAAGCTTGCTCAAGCCCTGCTCCTTTCCCATACCCCCAGAAAGAAGACAGGCAGGAAAAAAACAAACAAACCGATAAAGAAAAGATGCCTCTGTCAAGTTCTAAACTTTTTTTCCTGGTGGCACAAGTTTCACTCAATCACTTTATAATTCTCATATTTTCCCTACCTCTCCCTTTCTTTTACACTATTCTTATTCCTTCTGTTCTCTCTAGCTATAACTGATATATTTTAATATGCCATATGAAGAATGAGATAGCTCTAGAATGATTTTTTAAAATTAATATACCTTTTAAAGCAGTGATTTGTCAATTCACGTGGGTAAATATCTGGGACTGAGGAATCATATGGTAATATTATGTTTAGTTTTGTCATAGAATATTATTTTTAACATTCTAAAAATAAAGAAATGAGAAACTTCTTCAGAATAGGACATTGGAAATGGCCTTTCTTCCATTGCTTACTCAAATTTTGCTCAATAATAGATATAATAGTTGATGTTTTAATATTTTATCCTCTACCTTTCTTCCCTTGAAGGAGCCTCTGAACTCCTCTTTACAACAAATCAGAATCAAGTAAACCTGAGTGGGAGGAATAAAACCAAAATACCTTGAATCAAATTCCACTGATAAAATCCCTATCCTTTTCTTAGGTTAATGAACTTTGAAATGAATAAGGTCAAGTTTGACTCCAAGATCCAAGTTTGACTCATACTAGATCTTCATGGTAATTACTTAACCTCCCACAGCCTCAGTTTCCCATCCATAAAATGGTCATAATTGTAACAATAATACATTGGAGAAGGAAATTTGATGAGATTGCATAAACAAACACATAGGACAGAACAGTCACATGGGAGACAGTCACCAAAAGTGTATTTTCCTCCTTTGATTAAGAATAGCTGAATACCATTCTATATCCTCCCTCTCCCCCCCTGCCCCCCCGATACACTTCCCTGTGTTCTATATACTAATGGGTAGCCTACATCTTCTCAGGAGACCAGGAAACCTCTGATAAGACTTCCAAACGAATTTTTGAAAAGTCTTAAAAGCACTTGTAAGAATGAGTGACATTCTGTGGAAGTCATTAGGAGTAGGATGGAAATAGACACTGGCAGCTCTCTTACTAATAGCTTTACTCTTTAATACTCTGTAATATATTACCTCCCTGGAGTATATGCAATTTACTAGTAAATGAGGATTCCAGAAGATAATATGAACAAGTTAGTGCCCAGTTGAATTATAATCAATTGTGGATTATTCCCCTTATCCTGCCCCAGGAAATACCAGTCTTTCTGCAACATAGTCTAATTGTCCACAGAAATCAACTCAGACTCTTCAAACAGTGTAATGTGGAACCACTGTTCCTACAAGAACTGCGAAGTTCAAACGAAAGGAGCACCGTGTTGAGACTGCTTGGAGCCTTGTGAAAGTGAGACTGCTATTTTTTATGGAT